TAAGGGAGCAAATACATTGCTCACAACTGCCACAGTCGCCGCCTCCGTCTCAACACCTGCATCATTTGGCACGTTTAACGTCGCCACCAGCACAGCAACCGGCAGCAACAACCTTACTGCGAGCACAAATACCCGCCAAACTGCTGCAGCGCTACCCATACGCTACACAAACGCTGGCATCTATGCCAGCCTTAGTAAAATCAATACCACCGCACCGATGACATTCAACCTGCGTACCGCCGAAACGTCGAGTGGCACATCCAGCAACAGCAGCAGCTCCAATTTCGGCGGCAGCAACACAACTACCATTACACTGGGTAAACCCGCCGTCGCCACACCGGCACACCTCCAACAGTACCTACCTCAAACGTCGGTGAGCACAGTTTTTGAACAGAGCAGTTGTCATACGCCGGCATCTGTACGCGAAGGCAGCTCCTCGCCCGACATCTGTTCAGACATTGAGATCGATGAGTCAGCCATAAAGGATGAGCCCATGTCGCCAGATTCCAGTTGCCCGCCCAGCCCAAACTCGCCAGAATGTATGACAATGGCGAAAATCTCTCATTTGGCCGCGCGTACTAACTCCGATCTCGTCTTTGAACATAAGGTCAGTACTCAATCAATGTTCTTCGATTAAATACGCTTAATATTAATAAATTTGCCATCTCCGCATTAACCCTAGAACGGTTGCCTGCAGCTAACTCCCGCCTCACAGAGCTTACTCAAAGCGCAACAGCTCGCCTTGAACGCCAGCACCGCCACCAAAAGTCAAAATATTTTAATGCCTAAATTTAATATAAAGTCCGAGAACGGCTTTAGTAGTGTTAATGTTCCCGCGAAGCATAACGGTCAATATGGTCTGCCGCTGACGCCACCCTCCTGCTCATCAAGTGATGGTGATTCTGAAGGTAATTTAACACCGGAACATATACTATCGCCACTTTCGCCCAACACTTCAGTTTCTATATCTGTGGCTAACCCTGCAGTAATTTCGCCCGTTGCTCTACATTCCGCGAACGTGCCCCGTAGTGCCAGTAGCAGCAGCTCTTCATCGCCATCATCTGCATCGTCATCGACATCATCCCTGCACGTCGCCGGCCGACATGCGGCAGGTGGGACTACTGGTTCCACACGTCAGCCTATACACACCCCGCTTATTAGCACTCAGCCGGTAGAGCAAAAAAAATTGATTATTTATATCTTGAAATCAATACTAAATATAGCAATTCCTTTTTTGTTTTATGGAATGAACAGAAAGGCTCCACAGGCGTGCTGATT